GAATTTCATATTATTCATCAATATTCATAACAAATCAATAACAACCAAAGAGAACTAAAACCCTACATCTACCCTTCCCTCATATCAATCATAATTGAGAATCATTACTCACCCTTACCTTAGAAATTGCTCAAGGAATTGCTTCTTCTCACACTTTGTGGATGAATGCTCCCTCTTATCTTTCTCCTTGCCTTAGCCTATTTTCTTCTAAATTTCGCGTATAATGCATAATGATTCCCCTTCTCTTATTTTCCCAATTTTATATCGTGAATATTCTCTCTATTATGTTTCCCCTCATTTACCCTCAACTTAACCTTATGCAATTACCTCAATGCCCATAAAATCTCTACACATTCTAATTTATTTTATTTTCCTTATTATTCTCATTATTAACAATATAAAACTATTATTTAATTAATCTAGATTATTTTCTATCTCAAAAACATACACTCCCACCAATAATCTAAGAAACACAATAAATAAGAAAATATTCGCAAGTAAGTACGTAAGCAACATAATTCTAAATTTGTGGTGTTACAGTGGAAGCTAAACTTGTTAGTACTTAAAAGTTGTGAAAAATGGGAAAAAAGGCAAGGAACATATGAAGCTCTTGAAGGGGGAGAACACCATAATCAAACCTTGAATAATTGATGTAAATTAAGATAAATGGGGAATTACTTGAATATAGGCGTCAATTGCATGAAGGGTGGAGAGAGATCCTTACCCCCTCTAGGTTTTTCTATCCTTTTCTCACTAAACTCAAGAACACTCTCGAAACACTATGACTAAATAAATATGTGAAAAGGTGAGATATTTAGAAAAATGACGAGAGAAATTAAAAGTGGGGGTTTTCATGTTTTTTGGATGTGAAAATGATAGAGAAACTCTCTATTTATAGACCAATACGTGGTATAAATTTGGAAGGTTTTTGGCAAAAATTTACTTCATCTAATCAATTAGTTAATGGATTAGATACTTAAAATAATCTATGATTGAGGCCCAAAATGGAAGATTTTGATAGAAAGTCTTTATCAATAATTAAGAGACTGTCATAAACGATTATCTATTAGCCACCATCTAATCAATTAGGCCAAAAATATAATCGATTATATATTTGTAAAAATTCTCCTAATCAACAAGACATCCCCTTAATTAACTGGTCAGACCCCAAAAACATTTTTTTGTGGTGATTTTATTAAAATGTGATATGCTTCTCAATAGTTTTTAGTGTGTTGTAATTTAGCCATAATGTTTCCAAAAATTCTCTCGTGTCTTTACAAGACACTAATCACCCAAATAGACACAATCAGAAGAACTTCCACACTTCATTTTTTTCACACTTTGAAGCTTCAAGAGTTAACATCATATCTTTGACTTCATATCACACGAGATTCTTGAGTCTTCTTGATAAGGCTTGAGATATATCCATGTTGTTTACCATCATCTAAGAGCTGAGAGGTTAAACCACTAAAGCAACACCAATTGATAAATAATTTGTCAAGCATCATCACTTAAGCACACACATCAAGCACCATCACTTGAGTAACATACCAAGCATCATCACTTGATAAAAAACTTGTCAAACACCATTACTTGAGAAAACATATCAAACACCATCACTTGATAAATAATTTGTCAAACATCATCACTTAGGCAAACACATTAAATACCATCATTTGAGTAACATACCAAGAATCATCACTTGATAAGCAACTTATAAAGCACCATCCTTTGAGAAAACATATCATTGATCACTAAGACTGGTGAAGAATTCACTTAAAAGAGTTTTCAACATCAAAATCAAGTCAACATGTTGTTGTAGTCTTCATACCTACAAGCACATAGATCCACATAGAATATAGACGAGAACAATTCAAAGAGTGTGTTCAATAGAACTCTCATACTCAAAAGTGAAACCTATATGTTTTTAAAGGTTAACATGTTTCTTACTTGATATTAGTTGTTAAAATGACTGAGTTATGTGAAATAATCTAAGATTATGAATTTAACTGCAGAATATGAGCTTTTCGATATGGAACTCAAAGAAACTGTAGAATCCATGCAGATACACTTTATTCATATGATCAACAAGTTATAGATTTGAATTGATTTTATCTAACTAAGATTGTGTTAACAAAATGTTAAGGTTTATGTGCAAGAAAGCAACATAGTCAAATGACTTGAAGACTTTAGATATTACAATCCTGTTTGGAAAATTGGTTTTATCATGAAACTTGAAGCATCTAAAGTTATTTTGAAAAAGAGGAAAAAGGTTAACAAAGAGAAAAGAAACTTCTTCTTGAAGACCTTTACTTCCAAGGTCATTGAAAAAATGATGAAGATAACACCTGAGAAGATTCTTCAAAAGAATAAGAAATTTGTGTGTTCCTTAATCGAGTTAACTAGTATATGAAATTATACAAGGCAATATGCTTGGAGTGAGTTGACTCACTGTCAATGTTGAATCAATTATCCAAGTTTTTTCAATCATAAATTCAACCAAAGAAGTATCTAATCTCGGTTTAATGGAAAAACAAGCAAAGAACCTCAAAACGAGTGCCTATTTTAATTCACTAATATCTAGTTAATGAGTGTCTGAGATTTTCAATCAATGCAAGTGTATATCATTGGAATATCCTCAAGACGAGCAAAAGAATTTGTATCCAATCATATTTTTGGCTGTATTGTACCTTTTTTATATAAGTTTTGTTGATTACTAATGCTACTTGTACAACTAATTAAGTCATAGGTCATCGTTATCGGTATTGGTTGTTCTTCTCTCCTTCCTCTTCTTACCATTATTATTGTATTTGATATGTTATTCATATATGAGATGTTATCTTTTATTGTGGTAATTTGATTGCATAATATGTACATAGCACATCTTCTTACATTATAAGCATAACATTAAAAAATTTCATATGCATAAATTTTTTCTTATGTATCAAATTTTTCTACTGCATCAAAATTTTCAATTGCATCAAATAACTTTCCAATCGACATTTAAATAGTTTTTCATAACCATTACATTTTTAAAAGGGTAACTTGAAGTACACAAGAAAATCAACAAAATCGTCCATATTCCCTTTTGAAAAATATCAACAAAACTTTGTCCAAATATCTTCGTCTTTGATGAACTTTTCTCGTAACTTTAGACAATTTCCCTTCTCACCCTTATGATGTGGCTCACACTTATAAAAACCCAAAATTGCTCTTAAGTTTTTTTGGAGATTTATCTCCAGACGCACCTTAAATCACCTCATCCTTTATGAATCAAGCAACCATCCCCTTTTTGTCAAATAATTAATTTGGAGATGCTTCTGCAAATTATTTCTTGGGTGCATTTTTAGCTATTTAAATACAGTCACCTCATTTTTGCAAAAAATTAATTTAGAGATGCATATCTGAAAAATATTTCTGAGTGCATTTTTAGCTATTTTAACGTAGTTATCCCATTTTTTCCAAAAATTAATTAAGAGATTCATCTCCAAAAACATTCCTAGGGGCATTTTTAGCTATTTAACATCTATATTTTGTATATTATGGGGTGTTTTTGAAAATGTATTTTTGAATATATCTTATAAAATTTTTACTCACATATTTTCGCTTATTTTGTGTGAAAATAGTATGTCCGAAGATGAATCTCAAAATATTGAAGATATTTTTAACTTTTCACTAGAGAAAATTTATAAGAATGAAAAAAGTTGTCTAACTTTAACACAGATAACTGATAGAGTTGAAAGACTATCCAATATGATTTCAAGAAATGGAGAGTGTTTTTGAAAATTAAATATTTCTATAAATGTCTTTTTTAAGAATTTTTTATTTAAATTGTGTTAGGGTTATAAGTTGGATAATGGGTGAAATAGAAGAAATTCACTATATTTTAGGATGGTCTAAAATAAATTTCTCCTATTGGAATAAATTCACTATATTTTAAAAGAAATTCATTATACTTATTGGAATAAATTTCTCCCTCTTTTCTTCTTTAATAGTGAGAACGATTATAATCATATAAAAAGAACCACTAGAAATAAGTCATTAAACAAATGAATAACTTTTAAGAGGTTTCACAATCTACCCCCATAATATATTTCTATAAATTTAAACTTATTAAGAAGTAATTTGAGAAATTTCCTAATTTTTATATGTAACTGTAAGCTTCCATCCTTGTACTTTCAAGCCTAACAACTCAATATTTAAATGAGGTTGAGTGCTTCTTGCCTGTTGGATTAGATCAAAGTAACTAGAAATATATATGACTTTTTTTGGTCAAGAATATATAATTGAATTTAATATATATTTAAGCATTTTTGACATGCTTTATTTTAATTTTAAAATTAATTTCAATTTCAATATGTTAAATCAACCTTTATTTTAATTTTAAAATTAATTTTAATTTTAATATGTTAAATCAACCGATATGTTAAATCAGTTCAGTTGATAATGCAGACATCAGATTAAGAGTCGCGATACAAAATAATTTTAAAAAAATAATTTTTAATTTAAAGTTGATTAACATTAGTATTTAATAGAGATAACAAACGGACACGTCTGTCCTGTTTAGGTCTTATCTGTCAAAATGCAAAAAATAAAATGAGGTGCAACAGACATAGTCGAGGAAAATTGTCTAAAACTTAAGTTCTTTTCATAAAAAATTGAATGTCCGTATACATTACACATTTTAAGACTAAAAATGCAAAATTAACAAAATTTAATTTAATGTTAATGCTCGTAGGTGCAAAAGTCTCTTAAAAAACAAAACAAAACGAGACGGTCACGTTAAAAGATAAATATCTAAATTTTTAATCTATTTCACAAGACAAATATATTTAACATATTGGATCTATTTTGTCACCCTCTAGTATTTAACTTATAAGTTACATTCTCATAAGAAATCAATTATAAATAGAAGCGCATGATGAACCTAATAATAAAGCAAAATACACCAAACCCAAAACTCAAAGAATCAAAGAGTTCAAGAAAGTTTCCACACGGCCATGGATTCGCAGCGACCAACAGCATCGCCACCTCCCGATTCAACTCCACCTTCCATTGCCATCATCTTGCTCTCATTCGTAGCCATTACCGCTATCGTAACTCTCTATCTCTCTGTTTCTCTTTCGCAAATGTAATACTGAAAGTTAAACATTTCGATTCTTGTTTTTGTTTGTTATTATCTATAATCGCCGTGAAAATATCCATATTTTGAATATGCATTTATTAAAACTATATTAACAGCATTGGAAAAACAATCGCAGATTAAAAATTAGTGTAAGTGATGATCATTTGTGTCAATGTAGATGTATTTTTAGGGCACACTTGTGTAACACTTGCATGTATTAAATAACATTTGTTTTTGTTTTGAAATTAGCTTTTCTTTGCTTTGCTTTTGATGATAATGCATAGGCAGTGGAATATTTGTCTTAATTTGATGTTGTTTTGATATTAGTTCTTGCTTTGATTTGATTTGATTTGATTTTGATGATAATGCATAATGCTTTGGTTATGTTTCAATTGGAAATTGATTCTTGTTAACATTTAATTATGTAGCACCGACATTTCAGATTGAATATATGTATGATATCTGACATGTGTCGGTGGACATTGACACATTAGTTACATTCGATTGTATGTTGGTTTGTGTGAGTGTTCTGTTGACAATTTAAAGGTTAAAACATTTCTTATGTTATCTATAGGTTTTGGTTCCTACAGCATCATCATCCTTCAAAAATTCCTTGTCAATTGTTCACCAAGTCCCTGAAGGTCATGTGGGGGTATATTGGAGAGGAGGTGCGCTTCTCAAAACAATTACAGAGCCAGGTACTAAATGCTTCTTCTTTTTTTGCAATAGAAACTAAGAGCATTGTATAGTTGAGAGAGAAAATGAGAAAGCTAAGGGTCTGTTTGGGAGTTCGGAGGGGAAGGGAGGGGAGGGGAGGACTTTGAAAAAAAAAAGAAAGATTGAGTGGAAAGAATTGAAGGATTTTGGTTGGGAGGGTTTTAGAGGATTTTCTTTTATTCATAACACCAAAAATCTCCTAATTTGGGGAACTCAAAATTTGTATTGAAGAAGGATTTTGGAGGGCTTACATAAATTTTCCAAATATATTTTATGTTGTTATAGTATTATGAAAATTAAAAATATAGTAATGATTAACACTCTTATCATTCTATACAAAATCATTCTGTCAAAATATGTCAATTATTTTCCTATATATATTTTTTTTAAAATTCGTTTTCGGAAGCCTTCCCTTCCCTTCCAAACTCCCAAACAAAGGGAGAACTATGTTATGAATATTTTATGTAATGTAAATCTGTTTAGAAATTAGCTAGCATAGGGTATTTATATCTATACTCGACTTATTCTAAATCGGTTAGAGATGGCCGACATAGCACAGTTAGTTACAAGCTTAGGGCCTTGTTTGGCCATCTTTAAATTTACTCTATTACTTTCAATGATTTCTTGCAAAAAATCTCTGTTCATGTTTGTAATATTATTTCTTCCAGGTTTTCATATGAAGATGCCTTTCTTAACTCAGTTTGAGCCTGTCCAAGTGACACTTCAAACAGACGAGGTAAATTCTTTAGTACAGTGATGGGAGTTAGGGTTTTTGTTGTCTCTCTAGTTTGGATTTTGAATTACGGTGACAATTGCAGGTGACAGATATACCATGCGGTACAAAAGGAGGTGTTATGATTGTTTTTGGGAAGATTGAGGTAATAGCAACTGTATTTTTCATATGTAATATGTGAATTACAAGTGTCCGAGTTTTTAAGCCGTTAAATGTATATGCAATAATTTTCTTTTTTTAGGTTGTTAACCGGCTGCATAAGGAATCTGTATACGAGACGTTGCTCAACTATGGTGTACATTATGACAAGACATGGATATATGACAAGATTCATCATGAGATTAATCAGTTCTGCAGCTCTCATAGTCTTCAACAAGTATATATTGATGTGTTTGATCAGGTAATGTACTGATGTTTTAGAAGTGTAATTTTACCTCTATGGTTTATTTTATATTGGCAATATCCATTTATACTAGAGGGTTAATCAAACAAGCAAAATACGAAGGGTTGACATTCTAGAAAATAATTGGATCTTTGATGTATTTTTGCAAGTTGTAGCTTTTATAATCGTCCATTGAAAAAGTAGTTGATGCAAGTTTGTTTTACCCCCTCAAAAGCATGTGATTGTTTTATGTGTCAAATGAGTCTACCCAAAATATATATTTTTCCGCTTCTGTCCCCTCTCTTTTGTTATTTCATTTAATATGTTAACAAGGCAAACATTGGGGAACTTTCAGATTGACGAAAAGATGAAGGATGCCCTTCAAGTTGACTGTACCCGCTATGCTCCAGGCATTGAGATCATTGGTGTCCGTGTCACAAAGCCGAATATTCCAGAAAGCATAAGACGCAACTTTGAACAAATGGAAGAGGAGCGTACTAAGGTATATTTTATTGAAAAGCGCCTGTCATTTTCCTTTAAATATGCCCATTGGCCAAAGGTAGATAGATGCAATGTTGAGTTGACAATCTCCTTAAAAGAAGAGTAAACACTTGCAAAGATCATGTTATTTGACCGTATGATTAATTCATTCTGTCATTATTTGAGATATTTGTCATGTAAATGCTTCTAGCTGGTTTTTGTATGTTTTCTATCGTCTAAATATTGATAAACACTGCTTTGGATGCTGTTGAATAGGTTTTAATTGCTATTGAGAAGCAGAAAGTATCTGAGAAGGAAGCGGAGACTGCGAAGAAGATGGCTATTAGTGAGGCCGAGAAAAATGCCAATGTTAGCAAGATCCTTATGGAACAAAAGTTGTTGGAAAAAGATAGTGCTAGAAAACAGGAAGAAATTGAGAATGCAATGTACCTAGCTCGCGAGAAGAGCCTGGCTGATGCAGATTTCTACCGGTGAGATTTTCTTATTCTTTGATGAGTGTAAGTTTAGGACTGATATTTTAATCTGTGGTCTTTGAAACAAGAAATGATCAGTTTTTATTGTTTTTGATAATTTCCAGTGTAATAAGGGAAGCTGAAGCAAACAGATTGAAGCTTACCCCTGAGTTTCTAGAGCTAAAATTTATCGAGTCCATTGCCAATAACACAAAGATTTTCTTTGGGGACAAGGTATTCCAATCATCCTAGATATTTCAATAGTCGCATGTCCATGTACATAGCTTTGAACTTCTAGGTTTGTGCTGCAGATTCCAAATATGATTTTGGACCAAAGGCTGCTCGGAAACTTCCTTGTTGACGAAGTTTCTAGAGGTGGAGCTATAAAGACAAAAGCAGATATCTAAACTCCACCAGTGGGAGCTCCTATCTCTCATAGTTATCTTCTACGGTAAACAATGAAAAGGAGACTTAAGTTTTAGAAACTTTTTTTTTCTGTGTGTGGAGGGAACGTAGATAGCAGGTGGATCTTTTTGATACAGTGGAAAATAGAAAATTTAGCATATAGGACAATTGTATAAGGTTCTGAAGTCATTGTTACATTTTTTTTTTTAAAAGCAAGTTGTTACATTTTCTTGACTATATGTGCTGTTGCTGTTTTGTACATACTCCTACCACCCTTCCCTAGTTGTAACTAGTTTTTTCAGATATAAAATACAGAAGTTATGCTCCAATTGAGGTCATGCATTTGAGATATTTTTATGCGCTGAAAATACACTTAGCTTATGGTTAAAAGTGGATTTTGCCAAGAAAATGAGTTTGTTTTTTGGTGAATGAACTTGTAAGTTGTAACCATTATTCGTAGATGGTATATGGGTTGGGTAAATCCAAAAAACCTAAAACCTAGTAAAACGAGCATTTATCATTCTATCCTCTAAATTACATATGTCATATTGAGGTGGTTGTATAAGGATCAAATTTTTGGTAGTTTTTCAAAATTTGTGACTTTTTTTGGTCAAATATTTGGGTTTTTTTTCTAAGAGGTGAGATGTTAATTCCTTTGGTAAAACCTATTCAAATCAATCTAAAAAAAAGGGTTGGAGCGGATCATTGGTGAACACGGTTTTCAAAAATTAAAATCTATTTAAAATAATTGGGTTATGAGTAAATCCACACTCAATCTACAAAATTCATGGGTTATTGAATGACTATTTTAAGCTATTTTTTGTAATTTCATGAGTGATAACTTTGATGTTTTTAATCTTGGTTACTTCAAATACAATCTTTTGAACATCTTTTATTTTAGGCTTAATTGCAAATATGTTTATTATGAATTTTATTGTGCATTTAGAATTTTTTATATTTTAAAAAATAGCGGCAATAGGTTAAACTATTTATTAAGAAAAAATGTGACATATCATTTATAATATATATGGGAGGCTTTAACATGTCACCCCCAAATTAAACACGGTATCCCTCAACTTTAATTATTCTAGAATTACCCTTGTTGAGTTACAAACAATTTCCGAACGAAATTTCTGATAGAGGGTTCGAAATTTCTGGTGCACCTCTACAAAATTTCTGGTTTATGTAAATTTTCGATAGTGCTATTGAAATTTTTGGTATTCCGGAAATTTCAAATTTACTAGGCAGTACCGAAAATTTGAGTTATACTGAAATTTCTGGTAGTTCATTTATTCAAGTTTTTTTAACAGTCGAGATTTTATCAACATCTTTGGATAGTCCTGATTGCACCGACAAATTTGTGTGGTCTAGAATGCATTGTCATTTGTATAAATAGGGGCATGTGCTACAAAGAAAAATATCTCAAACAATGCCTTTTCTTCAATTTCTAATTAAGGCAAAAATATATTACAACAGAAACAACCATGTTATTGAATTCAAGCTTCCAGGTGGCAGCACATCCCTTGCCGCCTTGAAAGAAACATTGAATGCATTGCTTCCTGATTCCAATAATAGAAGGGTGACAAATATCGAGTTTCGGGAAGACTGGATTGATATAAATTGAAGGGTGAAATACAACCTGATTGAGTTGAAGACCGATGAAGATGTGAAGACCATGTGGAAATCATTTCGCCGTAGGATAACTAAAGGTCCGATCGAGTTGGATGCGGAGATTTGAAGATCCGTCAACGACATAATAAAGATGCTGGAACGTCCAGAATCATCCGGTAGTGCCTAGGTTTTCATGTTTAGTTATTTTTAGTTTTTGTTTGTTGTACTGTTTTATGTTATGTTCATCATCGATTCGAAACATGTAATCGTCAAAATATTATGCAATAAATAAGAAGTCTGTGTGTCACAAAATATACATATAATACAACTAAAAATAAAATAAATCTACATAGGTCCTCCATGGGCTACGTCAACTAACCTAGCTAAACATGTATAAATCTCATCTTTGGGGTTTACCAAACCCATGAGGTTATCTAAATGAAATGTAATAAACTGTAGGTGGTTGTCCTGGTCACCTGCAGGTGGTGGAGGCTCGACAGAAACCATAGAAAGTGAAGGCCCCAAAACATCAGATGCTACAGTCGATGGTATGACCCGAGAGTGTGATACACTGCGATGCCACTCAAGGTATCCATCCTCGCACTGTGAAGGATGCTGAACCACAACTGATCTCTCTCTGATCTCACAGATAGAGCTGATGATGTGACTGTGAAACCATCTGTCAATGCCACCATCTGGAGCCACGAGAACTATATGAAGGATGCCCTGGATATAACCATATTGTCGTAGACACCTCTCAGACAAGTGTCTAGTCACATGTTTCTCCAACCTAAGATGCTCTAAATACAAAGAAGGGTCGTCAAATGTATAACGAGGATGTTCTGGACTGGCCCGACAGCTTGACCGAGCCCGATCCAAGAGATCTCCTTGAGTACGGCCCGCACGACCATCTCATGTCGGGCAATGATCCATCCATTTGCCCTTTAGCTTCACCATTGGCCCAGGATGATCGACAAGTATCCTCTCTGTCTGCCCGACTCCAACGTCATGCAGGCCACCAGAAACCGACCAGAGAGATGCTTGTAATTAGTCCCTTCATCAGAATCATCGACTAGTTACGAGAACATCTGCCCGGTTTGACCAAGTCCTGGCAGCTATCTGATTTTTCGGACCCACTTATCTAGACTGGAAATCAGGAATCAATGGCCACGTGCCAGAGGCATTATATAAACCCTCACACCTGTGAGGGCCAGGTATCATATATTTACTACTCAGTACTTGATATTTTTGCTTGTACCTCCCCGTTCCCACTCTTACCGGATCATCAGAGTGCCTTGAAGGTACAACCCTCTTTTCTCCTCAGCTCACAACCCAACTGCAGATCATCCTTCGACCGCTCTTCAAGTTCTGATCAACCGACAAGATCAGTGGCAACGTCTGTGAGAAAATGCTCTCCCCATCTTTCTTCCCTCGTAACTTAAGATCAAAGCAACTTTTTCAAGATTCATCTCTCTAATCATGGCCGACCATGATGATCTTCATATGTCTGAAAAGACCATTCTTTCCCCTGCTCGCAAAACTAACGAAAGTCAGGAACATCCTCATCTCGAGGATAACCTGGGCTTCCGGGATGGAAAAACCGCCTCTCTAAACTTCACTGATGTCCGAAGCAGTGACGACCAATTCTTGGACAAGGGACACTCTAAGAATCTTGCTGAGGAACTGCCTGAAGTCATGCAACCAGTTCCTGTCCCTCTCAACACCGACCCAGCCATGGAAGCACTACTCGATGCTATCAATTAAACCAACGCTCTCATCCTACAATAACACCAGAGGATAGGAGTTGGGAGAACAGGCGATCAAGATCTCCTCCTCGAAGAGCCCGACGACGAAACTCCCCCAATGCATCACCACCCAGGCGTGGCCCACCGCCCAGAAAAGAGAGGCGCGACGTTTCTTTCTTCAAGAAACACAATCGCACACCTCCTCCCAGAGATCAAGACTCCCCTTCGTTAAAGAAGAGGAAGGACAATAGGCAAATCGACCGAGCTCGACTTCCTTCTACCGAGCCAAAGTAGAAATGAAGGAGCCCCTCCCTTCGACGGGACCGCGACGATTGACGAGTGAGAAACTACCACTCTCCTTTTCCATCTCCCATCAATAGTGAGGATGACGAGACCCGTGGCCCGCTATCGAGAGAGATTACTGAAGCTCCTCTTCCTATCAGCCTAGACGAGCAATAGACCCTGACGAGCACATCGAGAACATCGATGTTCTCCTCGAATACAGAGGGGTCAGAGGAGCCATTAAATGCAGACTCTTCCCAACCACTCTCAGGAAGGGGGCGATGGTATGGTACAAGAGCCTCCCCGACGAATCCATCACCTCATGGAAACAACTCGGGAGGATATTTTCGAGGCATTTCACCGTCTCTCGTCGACACCTTAAATCAGAAGCTTCGCTCAAAACGATCATACAAGGCAAGGACGAGTCTCTATGAACATATATTGAACGCTTTAACAAAGAAGCGGTCCAAGTACCGACAACAGACAATATGAAGAAGTACCTCATCGAGCATGGGCTCTGTCCCCGCAGCGACTTTGTCAAGGCCGTGGGCATAGAAACACCAGCCACACTCGATTCCCTTCTCCTAAAGGCCCATGCATACATATAGTACAAGGAGAAGGAAGCGGCCAATAATGTCCGAGAATCTAGGCACAAAGAGAGTGCCAAATCCTCAAAGAACGATGAACCCTCGACATCCCGTCGGGGGGGAGAAGAAACGGGAAGACAAGCCCTGTGATCCCAAAGACTACAAGGGGCCGGCCGGTCGTTTCCATGACTACACCCCTTTGACAACCTCAAGGGAGCGTATTCTTTCTGAATACGCTAATTCTGAATTCAAGCAAGCCGGGGTGCACTTCCCCCGACAAACACCGTCTAAGCCAGGAACCGACAAGAGCAAGTACTGCAGGTTCCACAAGAGTCACGGTCATAACACGTAGGATTGCATTCATCTCAAGGATGCAATCGAAATACTGATCAGAGACGGGCACCTCAAGCAGTATAAAAAGAAGGAGGGTTCCCGTGACGAAGCACCATAAACCAAGAATGTCGAAGAAGGGAAGAAATCCCCCTACCTCGATCCTATTCCGGTCACCTTGAGCATCTCACGGTCAGAAGAATTCTACTTTCTGGACATGGAGAATGTCCCCCTGTACTTCTCCTCCCACAGTCCGTGGGAATCCTTCCCTGCAGCCATGATCATCTTCGGCGGAGGGTTCAACAGGCACACAATTGAATCGGTGAAGAGGAGGTTCGACCAACTCAATGAGGCCAACTCAGATATGGACGCCATGCTCGACAAATTCTGAGGAGGATCTCACCCCCTCGTCTTCTACAGGGAAGATTTTCCAAGAGGGGCCCCGAA